GTGCGGCGAAGCGAATGTTACTGAAGTTATAGGCTTGGGTGGATTGCTAGGACGAATCAATCAATTTTTTAAATGTGTTAGTAGTTTGGTACAGGTAGGTACTTACATCGAGAGAAAATGCCTGGTGTAGCTCATATCCCAGATCTACGATGGGTAAGGATTTGGAGTGAGCGTATGATGAGATAGAGGAGAGAAGGCTGAGGGGAAGTATGTAGCCTTTCTTGCGGAGATGCATAGTAAGCAATTACACCGCAAGATGGTGATTATGTGCGGCAAACAGTATGGCTTGTGAATGTGTGTGTGATATCTGTGTGTGTGATACCAACTGTCAATAACTGTCAAATATGATAATAATCTGCTTATATTTGGAACCGACCGACGGGGGAGTCATTGGAAGTGGAGTGTGTGCTGGCCAACTTCCAAAAGAGTATTAATCGGAAGATAATCGAGACGGTGTGGTTATAGTTCAATAGTTTATGCCGACGTCGCATCATCGCAACTCAATAAAGGTGACAATGATCACTTGCGTCCCGAGAACTGTTGTAACGTTCCTCTCCCGGATCAACCAAGTATCAAATTATTTGTAGATCCAGATTTGAAGCGCAGGAAAGATTTCATGGTAGTGGGATGTTTTCAGCCACTCCATGCAACATCCGCAACCAACCAACCTTCCGAACCCGGAATGTGACACACCGACCGAGTAGTAGGTTCCTTCCGCATATTAAATCCGCCAGCCACGCCACAAAAAATGACAATCTATCATGATTAGCAATTCCATTCAATGCTACTATAATAACATACTACCATGCTCACATATTCCAATCACACTTCGAGTCCAACCCAATTCACGAATCATCCACCTCCCTGATCCCCACCCCGAACATCCCATTCGACTCCACCGCACTCTCGTCCTTCAATTTCTCCGCGGTCTCTACGCCTCCAGCAGGCACCTTGTATTCAAATCTCTTCCCTGGCGCGGGTGTCCTCCCGTCCGGTAGTTGGTACGGAAAAGGCAACCACTGTGGCAGGAGACCCAACTGAACGAGAACGGTCGCTTGATCCCATGCGATGTGCTCGTGGTAGAGTCGGTCGCCGCGGATGTTGACGACCGATGTGAAGGGGATGCGAAGTGGTTTGTGGGTTGGGGGAATGCCGGGGATCCTGTCATATCCTTGTCAGCTACTACTCACATGTTCTGACTAATATGTGGAAGCTTGTTAAGAGGTGAAGCATACAGCCAATCTACCTCCTTATCATGCGTAAAGGAGAAAATAAACTCATCCACAACGCGATCAATACCCACAGTCCGACTTATCAGCTCTAGAGCGGTGTCGTCGGGGTTGTTGAAGATGAAGTGGTGGAGGTAAAAGTTGCTTAGTTTGGTGCGGCCAATGCCGCCGGTCATCTGTGTTGGTCATTAGTATGAGATAAATGAAGGGGCGAGCAAGTGGCTTACGGTCGGGATATGGTTCACATATGGTTCTTGAACCATTGTGGCCATGGTCTTTTCGACAGATCGAACATCGAATTCGTAGTATGTGTGTTCGGCCCAGATTTTCTCCAGGTCGAAGTATGGCCCGTTCAGGTGACTCTTGAGGAAAGTGAGGGAACGGGTATGCGCTACACTGGCAGTGGAGTATTTGAAGTCGGGGTGACCAGGGATGATGAAGCCTGGGGAGACTACGTCGGGGTAGACGTAGTTGGTATCATTGGTAGTGGATGCTTCGGAACCCGGGATGTGTGTGAGTGTTGGAGTAATGGATGAAGCGTCCCAAATGCTGTGGTATACTATGGCTGCAAACCTATTTGTGCCACTGATGTGGGCCAGCAGTGAGTGGATGAATGTTGGGGCGTAATCAGACTGGGAGCCGTAGACTGAGTTCCATGTTAGTATGTGTGACGGATAACTTCGAACTGGGGGAATCTAGACCTAATATGCCGAATTTCTCCTTGTTATTGCATTCAGGAAGGGCGACTAAGCCGGCAATTGCGCTGTCAATTCTGACCGACAGTAGAGAAGCATTTGCGCTGGAGTCCAAGTCGAAAGTGATCTGTGCGACTGCATAGCTTTCCTCGGCCCACTTCTGCAGTGGCTCTGGGTCTAGACTGGTATTTTTGCTTTGGCATTCTGCAACATTGGCTGATCTTATCAAAACCAGGCCTGGACCCTGTCCGCATCGTGAAAGAGGGGGTTGAAGGACGATGTTGTCGCCCAGGTTGACGCGCGGGGCGGATGGAAGCGAAGTAGAGTTGAAGGCCATTATAGATGAGGGAATTCTGGTACTAGACTACCTTCAATAGTTCAGGATCAGAAAGTATGTTGCGGGGAGAAATCACCCTGGCGGAAATTTCAGGGTTCAAGCTTGGCTATCGGCACGGCGGAACACGCCCCGCAGTCTGCGGGGTTAGATCCGAGATTCTGCTGCGGCACTTATCGTCGGTTGTCTATCGCGATAGTATTCATTTCTTATTACAATCCGGGTATCGGCTTTGATCCGTGATGTGCTGAAAGGAGAAGGAAGGTATAGATACCATTTACTTGGGTGGTTATGCATGAGTCAAGTATAGGGAATAGTTTCATCATTGAAGACTGGAGTACGATTGTTCTTCCTCTCCTTCTCGTGACCACGGCATGTCCTACGAACAACCAATATGATTCCACATCTACAGACTGAACCATTGGTTGAAGACATTGTCAGGATCATACTTCCCTTTGATGGCTTTCAGACGATCGACGTTGTCGCCATACACCGCCGAAAGATCTTCATCGAAGGCGAAATTGATGTACCTAGATCGAACCAAACGAAGTCAGTTTTGCAATAATATCGATGTAGGGCACATACACAGCAGGTGAGTCCAATCCGTCAGTCGATCTCCATAGATCACGCATTTTAGAAGCCCACTTTCTCGCGTCCGAATCCAGGCTGTCGTCCATGTACCACGCTATAGCCATCGCGTTGAAATTCACATTGGTTCTCCAGGCGTAAGCTGACGAATCTTGACCAAGAAAGCGCGCCTTGTCGAGTGGATACGCCTCCAAGAGGACCAGACTTTGACCGGTGCCACCCAGGGAAACGAAAGAAACATACTCCTCCCAAGCCTCTTTCCAAGTGCTGCTGACCATCCTGCCGAGTCCGGCAGAGTATGGGATTCTGAACCCACTCTTTGAACAGGCCATGCTGGATGCATCAATCCAGTGAGCGTACTCAGTTGCCATTGTGGTGTCGTTAGTCGGACCTAGGTCGAAGAAACATGAGAATGCAGCCCGTCCTTCTTCTTCGGTACCGTAGTAATATAGCATGAGAGTAACCATAGGCGTATTATCAGGTTCACCACTGGTCATAAAATACATGAAGACGCTCATTTCCGGTTCTAAAGTTATTCTGTCGATTGTATCAACCAAAACTTCCAATTTGTCGGCAGAGAAGACAAGCTGCCCCGTCCAGGCGGCTTGGCCAGAGGCTGAAACAGGGTATGATTTCATCTTTGCGGACGTGACGATGCCAAAGTTGGGGCCAGCACCGCGAAGAGCCCAAAAGAGATCTATGTCTTTGGGTGTGATTGTATGCAGACAACCGTCAGCCATGACCAGATTCAGAGATAGTACGTTATCTATCCCGAAGCCAACTAAGCCCATCAGGCTACCATATCCGCCTCCGAGAAGGGCCCCCAAAGCTCCGATACAGTTGCAATTGTTAGTTTGAACTAAGGCGTTGTTCTTGGATGAAGCCTCAATCACTTGAGCAACAGAGGCGCCACCTCCAACAATCACTTCTCTCCTGCTCTTACTAAAGGTGACTTCATCAAGCTGTTTGAGATTGATGAGCAATCCATCCTCGTCCAGGTGGAGCGTTTGTGACCACCCATGTCCACCATTCTGGGCTAGAAATGAGATATTGTTCGAGATGCAATATGTCACCTGTTGTAGGACTTAACATTAGCCGTTGCAATCCTTGTTATGCATTCAAAGCAAACGAACAACCTACGATTGCGGCCACATCCTGCTCAGTAGCCGGTGTTACCACAACGCCAGGCGTAGGTGCGTTGGACTTGATCCAGCGCTCATATCTGGTTGCATCCCAGGCAGATATCACAGCCGACTTTGATAGCTGAGGTTCCAGTTCCTCGCAAACCTCTGCTAGATACAAGGCCCAGGGCTGGTATCCGACAACTGATAGAAGAAGGGCAAGTGTAAAAGGAGTTTTCATGATTGGTAATTTTGTCGCCTTATACAGGTGGCCGAAGAGCATCGGACTATTGAAAGTGATACAGAAAAGCCTCTAAGTTGCTAGTTATGTACCACTGGGGAAGAAAAGCGGCACTTGCATATCCGAGCAAACGTCATTATTGCCATCCCAGAACAGAACCATTTTGCACCCCGCTCAGATACCCTTTCTTTGGCGCGGATATGTATCTAAGTGTTGGTCTCCTTGACGCGTAGTAATCGCGATGCTAGCTTGGGAATATCATGTCAAAGGGAAGGGCGTATAACGCGTTGGGCCTACAACAGACACGAGTAGTGTCACATATATCTCAGCGCCGGATAGTAGCGAGAGACTTAAAAGTATGGTGTGTCATTTGTCACGCTAGATCCTTCTACATTTTGAAAGCCTTGTGGCAGGTCGCACTGGGAGTAGCCAAGATATACTTAGTAGGCTGCAGAGATGATATCAGCCTGTGAAATGTTGCGAGGATTTGGTACAAATGCCCGACTTCGCCATTAAATTGAGGCTGAACGTTATGAGAGCATTAACTACTGCAATTGGGAGTACTTCAACAAACCCGACACTGACATTGGATTTATAAGTTCCTCCTGGGGAATTGACTGAATGACAGCCTGCGATGGCGGAAAGAACCGGCAGGAACCCCACAGTCACGTGCTAGATAGCTACGATCACGTGGATGTTCTGGCGATCTCATTGTTTTTCGACAACAAACCGAAAACTACAGAGCTTCTCCTCAATCGCATTGCAAGAGGTACTCCAGTTGTGGTTCGGATATTGGGAATTAGTACTCTCTCGGTGCCCTTATTCGATTACCGCATTTGCTCTACCAATTGAATACGATACACCTTAAATTATTTGCAGGTCCTAGCTTGATCCTTGCCCATCGCAACGTTTTCGCGACAGCCCAAACGGAGCAAAATGAACGTCGAGTTCCAAGGCACCCTCTCCAACCTGGAGAACAAACTAAATGTGCTCATAAATAGCCTGACAACATCGCCAACAGCTGCAGGCGCTCCCGCCGCCGCGATCGGTTTATTGGACGCAGACGACTCGTTGACCTCCGCCGTCGAGACTCTCCGACAACATCAGCAGAACTACGCCAAGATCTTACGGCTCCGTGAAGAGGCTCAGGAACTGGAAGAGAAAGTCAAGAGCATTGTACGTGAGGTGATGGCCTATGAGAAGGAGATCACAACGACCTGTGGAGACGAGTCCGATAGTGACCTGGACTCGGAGGACGATTACTCGGACTATGACTCCGATGAAAATATGGAGGGCGAAAAGCCCAAGTCTACAGGGTTACGGGGAATTAAAGAGGTGGACTACAAGTTACTTCTCGACTTTGCGCGGCGGATCAGCAAATACAACCACCAAGCGGCCGCCGATGCTGCAGCGACTGCGGAGGCCAAATCACGAGAGAGAATCCAAGAGAAGGGACCAGACACAGAAATGACGGGGACAAATGGCAACCAGGATACGGAGACAGCGGAGCCGGTCGCATCTGTCACCAAAGACGCGACTAGTTGGCTTGACGAATCGGCAAAGATGACTCGCCAGGCTTATATGCTACCGTATCCAATGGAAGATCGCATTCGATTGGGACTTATGGCACAAATACAACTCGCTGCTGCCGAGGGTCGCCCAGGTTTTGAACCAGAGAAGGAAGTTGAACGTTTGATACGCGAGGCTGAGGGTGTAGGGATCGCTGATGCGATGCCGCAGGTCGACGTCGGCGAAGAAGCGCGTCATGCAGATGAGGCCGCAAAAGCTGCAGCGCATGCCGGATCTGCGGCAACAAGCGGATCTGGGATGGGAGCGGCACCAATGCCGAAGCCCAAGGCTACATTGGACCTGGATCTGTACGACCCGGATGAAGACGATGAATGATGCGATAGTATTTACTGTACAGATAATGCAATACTTGAGACGACCAGCCAACAGCAGGCCTGTTGCTTCTGGACCTTCAAACAAGAAGAATAAACCTGGCTCAAACTTCACATCTTATGAACTGACGACTTTGCTGTCCTTTTCCGGAAACGCTTCCCATAGAAGTAAAAGGGAATCGCGAACAGACACCACAGGACGGCAAGTGACATATTCAACATTATCGGTTTTACGAAGCCGCTCTTTTCTACCCACGGTGTAATAAACTCACTGAACCCATAACCCCAGACGTTTTTGTTGACTGTGATTGAAACGAATATCGAGCCAGCAACCGGCTTATAGCTGTCCACTGCGTAGGTACTAGTGATAGCTGGGATGGCAGCAACCTGGATACCAGCCGCAGTGTACCCTATTATAACGATAGCCTGATGTGCAATCCTCGTTAGTGCACAGACCTCTCGACCACGGATGGACATGAAAACTCACCCTCCAGTCCCATTGATATTGATAGCCAAATGCCACCACAAAATTTCCTATGATGGATACGATCACATACGGTATGATCGCGGGCAGTCTCATTTCTGGCTCTCGAATGCCCCGATTCCTTTTTGTGGCTTTCATGGAAATCCAGTCCGAAAGAGGTCCATTAGTCGCCAGTCCAATGAATGCCCCGATCCAGATTGCGAAGTTGAAGAAGCCGATAGTCTGACTAGAGAAGTTGTATGGAGGCTTGGAGAAGGCCTCGCTCTGGGTGAGGTTTAGGGTCAGAAAGACACTGGCCGACCAGGAAACATTGAAGGCAGCAAACTCAACGATGGGGAAGCAGAGAAGCTTCCACGGAACCCAGAAGCTGATCAGCAGATTCTTTAAATTGTGGCCTTCTAGCTGCCAGAGTTTGAACTGCTGCTTCGATGGATAGCCTCTGCCAAGCCATGGATCTGTATCGCTTCTCTCTATCGAAGCATTTTCCTTATGCGCCGCTGCGGCGGTTTTCTCTGGTTCTGACCCGGTATCGGATGAGTTCGACACCTCTTGTGCATGGGTGTCTTCACCGGGGTGGACTCGGTGCCATTTGGTCTCTGGAAAGAGGAAAACGACAAGGATCAGCACCAGCCCCAGTAGCGCGACGTTGAACCAGAAAAAGCTACGCCAGCCAACATGCTGAGCCATTGGACCGGCAATGATAGGTCCGACCTATACGACTAGTCAGCCAGGGAGTTTGACAGCTTACTTCGTATCTTACCATGAGCGAGCCGAAATAGAACGTGAAGTAGAGCGTGTTGAAGGAACCTCTTTCGTGCAGAAAGATGGTGTCTGCAATGATCTCCGGTTGAGATGTCTACCGCTGTCTGTCAGTCTTACCCATGCTTCGGCTTTGGGATACCAACCTCGGCAGGGCCAGCTCCGAATCCATTGAGGACGCAGGCTCCCATATAACTACCATAGGATGTTGCCATGGCCCTCCAGATATTACTGACTAAACAGATGAGAGTGGAGAATATCAAGACGGGTCTCCGACCATATGCGCTCTGTAGGGGAATCCTTATTGTCGTCAGCACCTTACGACGTTTGTGAAGATGGTCCAGGGCTTACCAAAAGAAGTTACTGAACCCCAACACAAGAATACACACGCCGGTGAACTTGACCACGGCGGCATAGTCCGTGTCGAAAGCCTCCATCAACTGTGGAAACATTGGTGCAAGGGCCAAAGGTCCTAGACCTTGACTGAAGGAAACCGCAGTGGACAAGCAGATAACGGTTATCTTCCACGTCTTGCTCCAGTTCTGAGGGATTCGATTAGTGTTATAGATCTCATATTGCTCCGACCGCAACACCACTTACTAAGGGATCATGCGGGCTTTGCGATGGCTGCGGGACGAGAACACGATCTGATCGCGACGACGCTTTCACGAAATGATGTGACCCAACATCTGCCATGATTTCTGTCCCGGGATAAATCTCAGTATTGAGCTCCCGCTCAATCCTGGAGATTATTAGCAGCGATCACTTCCTGTGGAGATCTAACATACTGATGGAGAGCCTACGCACCATCCTTGTCAGTAATTCGCATTTCAACCCATGATCAAAGACCACTTACCGCTTCATCATAATTCATCTCCATATCGATATTCAACACAATAAATTCTTCTACTTCAGTTCAGCGAGCTCTAAAAAGCCCTACAATCCCCCTCAAATCTCACAGCCATCACCCCTTTATCTACCCAAATCCCTTGCATTACCACCTACGCCAACACTCAGACCCTTCCCGCCCAACGCGGAATTCCCCCGGACCCCAACACCCCCATAGCCGACCCAAGGAACCCCAGACAGGCGATACGACCCCAGAGCGGGGGTTTCCGAAAGGAACGTCCAGGATGAAACTAGCTGCTGTAGCCGATTTTCTAAGCATGGGTCCTTCATTGGTTCTTATAGCCACTGCTTGTCTGTCACGGAGATGTCTGTGCTGGAGTGAGACCCACTTCCCCGGATTTCGTTCCTTTCTCCACTTTCATTGCCGTTCGAGTTGGCGGGAATATGCCGCTGTGGGGTTTGATGGCTGGATGGGACTACGTCAATGGATGTATTCTAGGTTTGGTCTCTTGAGTGGTCATTGACTTTGTATAAAGTACTACGTGCGTGGTTATGCATGGCTAGGAACAGGGAATAGTTAGGGTCAGGGAGATGTGAGACAGGTTTTCTGTCGGTATTTCTGGTTTTCTTCTGTTGGATGGTACAACCATAATAATACTATTATATGACTGGCTGTACCTTTCATCCAATCATATACTCTATCTCCGAAGTTAGTGATTCAGCTTCAGCTTCGGCTCTTCCTAAGTGCCGTATCGGCACTAAACTATTTCCAGGATTCACGAATCAAATATACACAAACCAAACGCATCCGCTACACTACCCACCCAACTCGCTATAAATACACCCTCACAACCAACACAAAGTAACTAAGACTACCAATCTACCTCTCCTCCCACAACCCCTTCAACCTCTGGATCTCCGAATCCGTCTCCCATCCCAAATCCGCCCCAATCCCACACAACAACTCCTCCACAACCTGCCTCTCCTCCTGCTTCTCAAGACACTGTCCCGCAGCGAACAGCAAAGCCGGCATATAAATCCGCGCGCAACTCTGGGGCCTCGCCGCCGCAATTCCCACAATCTCCTTACATCTATAATCGACCTCCTTCGTGACCTCCCTGTACCCCTGGAGTCGGTCGAACGCGGTCGTGGGACTTGTAATCACGTCCGCGGGACGATTGAGACATAGTGCTAGCCTACCGAAATGGTATTGTTGCATGGTCGAGGCACAGGATGGGAGAGAGTAGTAGACTTCGGGACGGGGAGTGTGCAGCCGTAAACACGGGCGGAATGTTTCGGGCATGCGGTCGACCCAGGATTGGAAGGAGACGGAGAGGTTGAGCCAGGTTGTCGAGGGGGAGGTGGAGGTAGATGTTGGGGGTGTGGTTGGGGTTGTTCTGGTTGGAGGTGGTGATGGTTGAGTGATGAGTTGGTCTAGTTGGGATGTTCGGAGGTGGGCAAGGAAGTTGGTCAACTTGGATAGGAGGTAGGTGAGGCTGTTGGAGGCGAAGTCTTCTGGGGTGGAGAAGGAGGTGCTGCTTGTGGGGTCGATTTCGCCGGTTTCGGTGAAGGTGAGGCCGGCTGCGCGCCAGAGCGGGAGGTTGGTTGGGTCGAGGTAGGTGGGAAGGCGGTTGAAGTAGGAGGCTAGGTAGTCTTGTCGAGCGAAGTTCCAGAACGAGGCGTTAATGCCGTGGGTGAATTTTATGGGGTCAGAGGAGTTGCTGTTGAGGTGGAGGAGGGATTCGAATAAGGAGTTGACGCCGGTGAGGTATCTGTGTTTGTATGTGGGTTAGACATAGGGTGTGGTGGTGTAGGGTAAGGGGTTGGGGCTAATTACCGATTCCATTCCTCTCCGGGTTTGCTTATGAGTTTATACATGGTGAGCATGGTTGCTGTGGCTAGCAAGGCCTCTGCTTTCCTCCAAAACGTGTCGTCTCTTGCAGAGGGAGGAGTAGTCTCTGCATGGCGGTGCAGCCAGGTTTTCACGATTTCGACGGGGCCTTCCAGGACAGCGGAACTGGACAGAGTCGCAAAAGATTCTGGCATGCTTGAGTTCATGCGCGCGATTGACATATAGTAGTAGTTTGCCGCCTTGAGATACCAGTCCACTTCTGGCGCGTTAGGATACGTCTCCATGGCTGCTGGGCTAGTAAACATGCCAACGTTTTCCGGACATGTCGCGCCCTTCATCTGGCCCAGATGTATTGCTGCTAAGGCGCCGATCGAGTATCTCACGTAAGGATAATCTATCGCTCGTATGGGAACGTATGTTGTAAAGAACCTTCTACTATCGGAGAGGTCCAGCCTAACACCATGATTATGTTAGAACGCAAACTGATTACAGTGTTGGGCGTTACGAACCATGGAGCGATATTTTGCGAGTAATGGCGTATAAGAAAGGATATCTCGTGCTCAGAGTCTGTCATTAACTCCGATACCACCTCATGAAAATCCTCTTTATCACTTTGGACGGATTGGCTGTCATGAGCTGGTGATTGATAATCGGCTGTTGCATGCTCTTCGTGATAAGTCATGGGTGCATCCCCGTGGGGATGAAGTCTATCGTCAAAGGGGTTACTATGAGTGTGAGCCACTTGAGCGGCACGACTATGCATCTCCGACAATGGCTGTTCAGCCACTGCAGCAGCACCAGCGCCAGCGTTTGGGCTATGCTGACTTTCCGCTTGTAACTGGTTTTGACGTCTTGATTCGGCTATAGGCGAACCAAAAAAGGTTTGACTAGCGTCGGCTGGCTGATCGGCTACAGCTGTTGCAGCTACACGCGTGTGTATTTGATCATTAGCAGCATTGCTTCTGATTGTAGCTCTTCCAATATTTGGTGGACTTTCTCGCGTCACCTAACCGGTGTGAGCAGCAGTTGACTACCGATGTTTACGGGCGGACACGAGAACGGGTAGTTATACCCTCGTGCATGTACTCACTTTATTGGGACTATGTGAAGGATCCCGTCGGGGGTTATCCTGCTGATATGGCGCATATCGACGCCGAACAGAGGCACCCTGATCGATAAACTTGCGAGTTTGTACATATCCAGGACATTCAACTCCAGCATTGGTGCAACGCTGGCAGCTGGGGCGTGTCTCATCACACTGAGATGGTCAGACTGATGCAGCAAGTAAATTGTAACATGCGATTCTAACCTTCAGATGACGCTTCTTACATCGCTCACATGCCTTGTTTGATGGAACTCCCGGCATGGTGTACGCTTGCTGTGACGTCAAACAAGGAGTCAAGGCTGTTCTTGGGGGCAAAGCAGACAATACTACTCATCCTAATGAGGGGAGTAGCTCAAACAGACCTCGCAGTTCATACACTTATGTAGAATGCAAAGTACAATCGAGATATCTAGTTTCAAATGGCTGAACGAGGGAGCTTTCGTCGTCGCCGAGCTTGGCACACCGGGATCGGGCCTGGGATTCGCTCGGAGAAATGTCGGCACCGCTATCCGAGCCGGTACTTCTGGCCGGCTGTAGCCGAAACGTCCCAACATTTGCCAGCATCCGTGACACTCTTTTCAGGTAAATGAGGATGATTAGTCGGATAAAACCCAATATACAATTGCTGTGACTTACTTGGTCGCACTGGTTCAAAAATTGTCTGACCCTCCTACCTACTACACATCTTTAGGGTCTGTTCCTTCTCAATCTCTCTCTTCGAAAGGGTACCATTACCAGTGCCTTCGTTTTCCTTAGTCGCTAGTTCCCCGACATTACTATTCTGGTTATGTATACTACACTCATTGCTAGCCAGCAGGGTGGTGAAGAAGAGGCGGTCCTGGGATACCTCATTGGACAAGAACTCAGTCTGTAATTGCGATGCCGCATTTGCAGTTGTCCCATCACGGCATCTATCATGAGGCATATGCTCAACGTAATTGAAAGTAGCCCTACCTGTAATGATAGGACTATAGGCCCTGTTATCCAGAGGACACCGATATAGTGTGACCCTCCATAATCATTCCAATTGATAAACCCAAATTGGTCAGGCTACAGACCAGATCCGAAGCCAACGTTGATACCAGGTATCATCTCCTCTCCACATCCAATTCCTGTCGTATCCTGGAATTTTGGTGTATAACCAAGGAGGTGCAGACATCTTATAAGGTTTTGAACTGTACAAAAACCACCGCGAGTACTGTCTGCCGCAATTGAGGTCAGATTCCAGAACGAAGGCCAAGAAGACGCTTTGAGGGAAGTACAAATACACCATGCAATTTTACCATTATCCTAGTGTTTGCTTACCCAAATGTTAGTCGGTTTGTTACTAGTAAGGATTGGAACATGCATGGTGTGGCGGCTCTCGCCCTACTGACAGGAGGCATGGCCGGTTACATGCTACTGTGGCGGGCTCTAGCGGTGCATTGACGGGCTTCCTACTCGCCCTGATAGTAGAGACTAGAGAGACTTCCCCTCCCTGCCCCAAATTCCGACATGTCCCCCTTTCTTCCCCAGCGGTCTTTCTTATTGACTCACGGTTTCCCTCTATTTAAATGCTCCAAATTCTCTCATGAGCTTTCCATCCCAAAAGCTAATCATTGACTTCGCCCATGGAAGGAAAGGTGGAGAGAACACCAGAAAATGACCCTTTCCTGCCCTAACTGGCTCCGCGTGTAAGTATGAGACCCCGCGGGTAAATGCAACCCTGCTGAGTCTCCAAACAGAGTCTTCCTCGCCCTGGAGATCACGGTGTTCTTACCCCAACTCTTGCGCATCTGGATTCAAAAGAGGAGCACCGGCCTGTCCCTCATCTACACATTTTTGAATCTCCTTAGTGCCACCGAACGGTTTACCGTCGGTTTCTCCGCAATCGTCAACTGCACCATCGCCGGCGCCGATGCGCCAGCCTTTTTCGTCCATGATCCGAGAACAGTGGGAGATTGGCTGAATCTGTTGCAGCTAGGTGTCGATTGGGTGCTGCTCTTGCTCTTGTAAGATTACTGCTACTAGCCTCTCTTTTCCACGGTCCGCGCTCCGCCAAACCGAACGGAATACCGTCCCGTATAAATACTAACTAAAAATGGCCCAAGCTTCATTCTATGTCTTACCTATCCCCCTCCCCACTCTCCCTACGCCAGTCAGGTACGCATCCTAGTCGCCGTCCTGTACACGGCGTTCACCCTGATCTCCGTCGTCCCACTTTTCACCGACGCTCTCTTCCCCTCCATTTTCCACGAACCGGGTGAACGTCAACTTAATTTCGGCGTGGCCATATTTATGGGGTTTCATCTCTTTTTCCTCAATACCATATTCACACTTGTTAGCATCAGCTCGATTATTCCTCAGGCTGTCCAAATCCGCTCGCTCCCGTTGAATTTCGATGTGGTGAGAGTGCGGGACTGCGCTCTCCGAGGGGTAGTATTGGCAATGTTAACTGTGTCGTGGGTGTTTCGAGTAAAACTCCCGGATGGGGTCGATATCCTAACGCCGTTCCGGTCCATTATTTGGTATGTACGGGTAGGCTGGCCGGCCGGAGGTACCGGGATATTTGCTTTAGTCCAGGGGGGTTTGGCTGTCTTGGGGCTAGTAGGGAGAAGGAGAGTGGGTGGGAAGGGAGTGACCGTAAGACGGGGAGAAACGGATCCGCTTCTACAAGGAACGAGGGATGTGTTTGAGGAACAAGCTTAGATAGACCTTCCTCCTTTACGTGTTGAGTGGTTTTGAGAGAGTCTCTCCAATGTTTATCTGAACAAGTGAGAAGAACAATCAAAAGATAATTAGTTCTGATAGAGTTCATTAACTCGTGCCATATATTCACTCTGGGATGTTCTTTCGATTCCAATGCATATATTCCCGAATGGTCAAGGTACAAGCCCTGGAGCCCTTGCGAGACATGATCAGGAAGCTATTCAATAATTTAGGACTGACAGTGTCTACGAACCCGTGATATGGCTCTTTAGAATCACATTCAAGAACTCTCACTTTGTTACCTGATTACGCTAATGCATGATAAATACATCCACGAAACTGAGTCACTTGGTTGGTGAGTAATCGGTTAGTGGATAGTTAGTGGACAGTTAGTGGTAAACGGAGGAAGATGAGCTGGGAGTAGGCTAGCAACTGACCCGCATCCTACTTTGACTTATTTCAGTTAGCCAATTCCTGAAAATCATCAGTTGGTACTTAGTACATTGCTTTACAAGACCCTTGATCTCCACCCCATACTTTCTCGACTTTCTGTTACCCCCACTCCCGGCAACCGATTTCCCCAACTGTTTCCACATGGATAGGTATATCAGATGGAAGGAAGACCATCGGCAGTAAGTTCAGCACGACTATCTTGAAAGAATCCGTTACGAAATATTCTGCCTAGGCCCGATACCCCACCGTTGGTCCTGGAGCTAGTAAATAGCAGTCCGACACTTTGGACAGAGGATGAACCAACCCAATCGTTCACAATCGCTTTGCGCAGAGTCTTAAACAATCAATGCTTCTGGCTGCGATGGTCACCTTTCATAGATCCCAGTAAGGAAGAATTTGTTTTATTGTCTCATAGTCCAGAAAGCAGCAAAGTCGAGAGGATCGGCATTGAGAAATACTCGAGCTATTCACCATCATTACCAAAGTGTTCATCAATTCCCCAATGAACCGGCATCGTACTATGTTGAAGAAGCCAAAAAGAATCGGGATCGCAGTACGATAAATGTGCGAACGGGGATACCTGATACCTGGATCAAGCTCCTAGAACCGGGACGCACTTATACCATTCTCTGGACGGGCAAAGAGATTCCATACTGGGATTGGGGTACGCCGCAGCAGAAGGTGGGAACTGAACCAAAATGGCCCCCTATCTTGGTTCCGGGTGGTGCACACTGCACCTTTACTGTGCAAGAAGGGCGGCGCCCTCATATCCCCTCACCTCCGACGCCACCGCCAATTGATCCAAGCGAAAGAGTGTAAGCCCTACAACCCCGATAGAGAAGAGGCTTGTGAGCTAAAAATTGAACAGTCCCGGCGCACCAGTTATGAGTCTTCAGCTGAGCTGTAGCCCAACAAGGCCTCAATCTGAGCGCTTGAATATGTCTATCAAGGTCACCTACCACGGTCCCTCATCCGACCCCATCACGTTCCACACCTGGGCATTCAGCCCACTTAGATCCTTCAGCGTCTATCGCCGTGTCTTCCCAGATCAGTCTACTGAACCGAAATGGAAGACATGCATAATCCATCAGTCACTACATGTCTTTTGGGATAATCTTGACAGACAGCTCAACGTGGCAGAAAATGAAGAAGGTCGATTCGCCACGCTCTTCCCTGGGGAATCCTGGTCAGATTCCTGGTCTTTCGATGCGGATGGAGATTGTGAGCCTGAAGACGCCCGACCTGGCCAGCAGCTTCGATACCAATTCACAGGGGAAACACTGGACTGGTGGGATTGGGGTGCGATGGAGGATCACGCGCAAACTGTTGTCACGCTGCCTGGCTCGGGAGTTGAACCTATTAAGCACCCGAAGGACAATGATAACCGACCGAAAGTGGTCATACCAGCTTCTAACATTGTCGAGTGGATTGTTCCGCAGTGCTTTGATCGTCAGTTTGATTAGTGCAAGTACAATATCCTTTAAGACTCTGTCGTTCTTTTAGCCACAAAGCTTCAGGTTGCCGTATTTCTAAAAAAGGATAACTAAAAGGTCTGTGAGCTGTAACCCATACATACACCCCAGAAAGGCCTACAGAGAATTTCCCCAAAATTTCATGATCGTTCGATGACAGGGAATAGAAAGGAGAACACATAACAATTCAACTAATGCAGTGCCGCTTTAATAGAAACAATGACTCTGATCACGGGGCACAGCTGCTGTCCCCGCATCTGTTAATGCCCAAAACAAGCCGGCGGGTGGGGCAAGCCACCAGAAACATAACAGTGCATTATCCTCCTGCCATACAAGACTGACTACTACACACTACTGACAGTAAAATGGGCCAGGGCAGATTGCAAAACAAGACCGCTATTGTGACCGGCGGAGGTTCTGGATTCGGGGAAGGAATCGTGCATAAATTCATTCTCGAGGGCGCGAACGTGATCATTGTCGATATCAATAAGCTAGAAGGGTTCCGAGTGCAGAATAATGAGCCACCAGGACGTGCTATCTTTCTTCGAGGAGATGTATCGAGTGAGTCTGATTGGGAGGTAGTGCGTGAAGTGGCACTTGAGAAGTATGGGAAGATTGACATCGTGGTTAATAATGCTGGGATTGTTCATGAAGTTCAGGTATACAGAATTTTTACTTTTCTTACTTCATTTTAATGCTTTTATTGGTTTTTATGACGTTGACTGATAGCATAACAGCCATCTCTTGAGACATCCGAGGATATGCTGGACCGCATGTATAAAGTCAACGTTAAGAGTATCTATCACTCGACCAAGACTATTGCTCCCTACTTTCAAGAGCAGGGTGGGGGCGTTTTCGTGAATATCTCAAGTATGAGCTCTATTCGCCCTCGGCCGAAGTACGCTTGGTACTCCGCCACGAAAGGGGGTGTGAGTGCGGTATGTCTGTTCCTTTCCTTCCCTTTCGCTTTCATCGTAGAAAGTCTTACGATTTATTGGGCACAGGCTACCAAGAGCCTGGCTGCAGAGTTTGCGAAGGATAACATTCGTCTCAATACTGTGTGTCCCGCTGCAGGCGAAACTGGAATGTGAGTATCTGTTTTGATTATCCGCTCTAGTGATAGACGCCCTAACTACCTTGTATCGGTGCTAATACATGGCCAGGATGCCTCTAATTCTTGGTGGAATAGACACACCAGAGAATAGAAGCAACATTCTGTCTAGCATCCCTCTGGGACGATTTGCCACTCCGGAAGACGTTGCCAATGCCACTGCTTTTCTGGCAAGTGATGAGGCGGCGTTCATCACCGGGGTGGAATTGCCGGTAGATGGGGGAAGATCATTGTGATTGAGATATTGAACTACAGACATTATGGAACACTCGGTGGCTTTGTTATTATGTACTGCGAACCTCAGAAATAAGCCATCTGGCACCATTTATCATGTCCTGGGTAGCAGTCCTCGTTGTGGTCAGTTCGGGGAATATCCAGAACGCATGGGGCATTCCCGGGTAGACAGCAACCCGAACTGGTGTGCTAGACATGTAGTCAGTGGTAATTGAAAGCGCACATTTTAGAAGAGCTAATGTACCCCCTTTCTTCAAGTTTGTCCGCATAGGCTAGGGCCTCATCGCGGAGCGGGTCACGGCCACATATCATGATAAAAGATGGCGGAGATCCACCCAGATCCCGGGACAATAGTGGAGATACCGTAGGATCTCCCCGGTCATAAGGCTGATACCACTCGAGGAATTGCTTCATTGAGCGCTGATCGAGGATTGGTGTATCAACGAATTGTTCCATACTTTTCAGTCCCATTCTCTGGTAATGCAGCTCACTAGAGCATAAGACTGGAGACCGAAGGAGCTGACCCCGGATTTCGACTCCCAAGCTCCGAGATAATTGGCACAGTACAGCAGCCTAGGTTAGAGGGATTCCATTTATATTATTAAGAGCATCATTCAATCAATTATCAGAAAGTTCATACCAAGTTTGCCCCAGCACTAGTCCCCCCAACGTAAACATTACTCGTATCGAAGCCATGGGTCAGATTGTTTTGGAATAACTATCAAAGATAAGCTATTAGCTATATCTAGTATAGTGTGACTGAGTGGGATATGATTTACCCAACGAAGTGCTGTGATCGCTTCTTGAATAGGTGCTGGATGCGGATTCTCTGGTGCACTTCATGATCCCATCGTTCAATGGTTAGCGAAGCCTCTGGAAGCAATGGGTCACTTACAGGCGATAGTCAACGCTGACCACATTTAGCATGGCTTGCACACATAGAACGCGACAGATATTGTCTTCTCCTTCTAGGTCTCCCAGTGCCCAGCCGCCTCCATGGAAGCTTCACGTCCGACACAACACTGTTAGACCGTTCCGAAGCATAAGATCTAAACAAATACATACTAGATCATGACGGCCCCATTTGCTCCAGGCGATAGTAGCTTGTATATTCTCAATTTCAAGCTCGACGGAGAGTCTGTAGTCAGATCATAAACTTTAAGTCCTTCAACTATTGGCGATTCATGTTGTTGTGCACGCATTTTGGCTTCGCGCATTGTTTGACGATACTGCTGTACTGAGCCAGTCAGATGTGGAACCTTGCTTCTGTTATTGCGATAAAACTGGCTTTGAAATCAGCATTCAATTACTATGCCAGTAGGGGGAAATTGCAACTAGCTTACCTCTTCCCATTCCAAATTCTCTATGGCAAAGGTATCCCTTTGCGATAGCCACTGGCCTGTGCTGGCACTGGGAATCTGCTCTCGACTCATGGCTGTCTGCTAGCACTGGGTCAGCCTGGAGTATGTTCGAGATTGAGAAAATTCTGCGAAAGGGCGACCGTCCACATTCTAGCGGAAGAGTAAGGACTCAGTGCATTCGCTTGTTCTCGCTTCTTATAAGCTGCATATAATGTCATCATAATGACTATCGCATGATGCATAGCAGATGGCACCAGGATGCGGGCATGTGACCAGACATTCACAACGACCACTTTGTGAAAGCTACATTTATTTGAATGCGTTCTCCTGCAAATTCACGCATCAGATACCTTTCAGACTCATATGAGGGAATTGAGAAGTACTGAGCTCACTTCAACCAATCCTCTCGAAATTCTATGCTTGGTACCCCCCCACATGCGTCTTTCCAATGTCTTGAATTACTACAAATATGCTTAATCATGTCAAGACAATGTCTTCGCCGAAGGTGCAATGAATGCGACTTGACTCTCAGTTTCATCTTCAGACGGCTTACATACAGAACTCAATCGGGGTGGAAATTCTGGCTAGGGCTCTCCGCCAGAAGTCTTGTCAAATGGTACGAAAGGTTGAAAGGTCAGTACTAGGCAACAGATGCCATAATTATGTGGTTCTTCTTCTGCTGCAGTTCTGATGAGACAGCGTGTACCGATTCAGTCCACGATTAGAATACTCTTCACTGCGGATGGAACATTATGACAGGGGATCGTCGGCTCTCCGCATTTCGGCTCTCGGATCATTTCATCCCTTGCAGGGACTGGCCAACACACTACTCCGATGGAGCGTTACACGCAGTAGCTGGCTACTGTTCCCGATCAGGAATCAGACCGTGTCAATCGCTGCAGCTAAAGCAATTCTGCCAGTATCAGTGGGGTGTCAAACGAAACGTGATGCTATGATTGGCCTCGGCAGTGATGATAATTTCCTCTCTTCTACCCCTCATACAGTCACGCTGCGCACAAGAGAGGGGTGGGCTTTCATGACCTCAGGTCGCGGGGAATTTGGGTTACAATGGAATGTCACTACACGCGACGCTCCTGTCGTTAAATACCAGGCTTCATGGCCGGTTGTTCCGGATTCTGCAGCACCTGCAGGGTCAAAATTGAAGCTCTAGTCTTGCCAAAATGCTCTTGTCATTAAAGGCACACAAAGCACTACCAGCAATCTTTCTAGCTTGCGGCCTTGTGGCTGGGCAAGAGAGCAGTAACTCTACCTTCGATGTACTGGACTACGTTAATCCCCTGATAGGTACCTCCAATGGAGGTAAGAACAGTCCTTTGAGAGCATCAACTCGCCAGGCTAATATAACGGTACAGGTCACTCATTTGCAGGGGCGACTCTGCCCTTTGGTTAGAAGTCCCAACGTGCCGGACTGTCTCCATGCCCTCTGACAGTCCTTAGGAATGGCAAAAGCGGTAGCAGATACAATTGGTGAAAACCAAGCCGGTTTCGCCTATGACACGACATACGTCTCGGGATTCTCCCACATGCATGACGATGGAACCGGTGGCGTGAGTCATCTCGCTCAATGGTATGCTGTTTCACGCTGACTGTTCCCTTCAGTCGCCATCTTTGGGCAATTTCCCCATTTTTGTGCACCCGGGATGTCCAAATGATGCACTCGACAAGTGTACATGGCAACAGGCCGATCGGGCGATACCTTGGACGAAAGGCTCGCCAAAAGCGCGCCCTGGTTACTTTAGTATTACGCTTCAAAGTGGTGTATTTGCAGAGATGACGGTCACGAATCATTCGGCTTTGTATCGATTCACCTTCGAAAACGCGACCGAGTCGCTCAGTCCTGTGGTTCTCGTTGATCTCATGGATCTTCCACAGTCGCGCACGAATGGAACAGCATCAGTAAATCCATCCACGGGTCGCTTGACAGGAAATGGTACCTTCAGCCCCAGCTTTGGTATCGGAACTTACGATCTCCACTTTTGCGTAGATTTCAAGGGTGGTGTCGTTCGAGACACGGGTGTGTGGTCCAACAATCGCGCCGGTCAAGGACAGACAACCGTATCACTCACATCTGACGGGAGCAACACCGCCGCGACCCTCTCTGCTGGCACATTTGCCCGATTCAATATGTCAACAGATGACCAAGCACTAATGGCAAGAGTAGGTGTGAGCTTCATCAGCGTAGAACAGGCCTGCTCGAACGCTGAAAAGGAGCAGCCGAATTTTGACTTCGCTGGAACAGTGAATGCGGCAGAGGACGCATGGAGGGACAAATTGAATGCCTTTACTGTTAAGCCGGGAAATGTCTCATCCGATATACAGCAAGTATTTTGGAGCGGCATGTATCGTACAATGATAAGCCCGCAGGACTATACAGGAGAAAACCCACTTTGGCAGAGTGACGAGCCGTATTATGACAGCTATTACTGGTGAGTGGACCTCGGAGTTTTCCGCATCTTACTTACGACTAGACAGTATATGGGACTCCTTCCGCGGCGTTCATCAGCTCCTGACGCTAGCCGATCCGCTGTCTCAATCTCGAATGATGAGAAGCCTAGTGGACATCTACCGCCACGAAGGCTACTTACCAGACTGCCGAATGTCGTTATGTAAGGGATATACACAGGGAGGGTCAAATGCGGATGTTCTTCTCGCTGAAGCTCTCTTGAAGAATGTCAGCGATATTGATTGGGCTACTGCGTATGAAGCTGTTGTGAAAGATGCGGAGGTAGAGCCCGCGAACTGGAATGTCGAAGGTCGCGGTGGACTAACTAGCTGGAAATCACTCAACTATATTCCGACGGACGATTTTGATCCATATGGTGTTGGACTACATACACGCAGTATCTCGAGGACTGTTGAGTATGCGTACGATGACTTTTGTATTGCACAAATGGCCCAGCGTTTGGGTCATCAGAGTGACTACGAAACGTACATGCTACGTGCCAACAACTGGCAGAATATGTTCAAGGACGATCAGAAATCTTACCTGCAAGGGAAAGATACCAATTTCACAGGGTTCCTACAGCCTCGGTACCCTAACGGGACTTGGGGCTATCAAGATCCCATCTTCTGCAGCCCATTGCTCAATTTCACATCTTGTTACTTGAACGCGGATGGGCACGAGACTTATGAGGGAAGCGCTTGGCTCTATTCATTGTGAGTTTCATACACTTTTTCCTCTCTCCGCTCAACTACTGACTAAATTATGAAGCTTTGTACCACAAGACATGGCTGCATTGGTCACACGATTAGGTGGACCGCAGACCTTCACATCCCGCCTTTCTTATCTTCATGACTCTGGTCTACTTTACGTTGGTGACGAGCAGGCCTTCCTCACCGTATTCCAATTCCATTACTCCGGACGGCCCGCGCTATCGACTCAACGCGCGCACTACTATATCCCCTCCCAGTTCAACACATCTGTCTCTGGTATTCCCGGCAACGACGATGGGGGAGCCATGGGCGCATTCGCGGTTCTTAGCATGATGGGTCTGTTCCCCGTCCATGGTCAAGAAGTGTATCTCATTAGCCCGCCATTCTTTGAGGAGATCAGCATACAAAACAAGCAGACTGGAAAGCTCGCCACGATACGAACTGTCAACTTCGACCCTACGTATCAGTCGATCTATATCCAGAGCGCCAAGCGGGATGGCCAAGCATGGACGAAGAATTGGATCAGCCATGACTTTTTCCTTAATGGAGGGACCCTCGAGCTTGAGCTAGGCCCTACGGAGAGTGACTGGGGAACTCGGGACGAGGATTTGCCCCCGAGCATGAGCAATTACTGATTAGCCTAGATGCCTTGCTCCCTCGTCCTTGGCTACCAAACGTGTCTTTTGGGCTTTCTGCAAGCTTTCCTGGAACGGACAGGCGGGTGATTCTGAGAATGTTGCCAGAATAGCTCTTTATTTGGGTCCAGCCTAAGGTTATTCCCTGTGCTTCATCTACAATTCAATAGCTATGAGCAGTCATTTCATTCCCGACGACAGTCCCACCAATATAAATCACCCAATAACTGGACTCATAGTAGATACTGATCCGGGGAGACATGAACCTAGATCATTTTCCCAGGCTCACCAACGTGGCCCAGGAGGCTGAGACTCCCTTGATGGCCTTCCAAGGAACCCCTCTCTCCTTAAATGACAAACCAGTCACAACAGCCACCACACTCAGCGACACCACCGTAAGAGTCAGATTGCGCATGGCGCGCCTCATCCGTGGCGCCGTTATCCTAGCCACCTGTTCCCTGAACGCAACAGGATCATTCCCATTCGGAAATGGAATATCCGGCACCTTCTCACCCAGAAACTGTACACATCCATTATTAGCAGATCAACAAACGGCACCCAACACAAAAGGGAAGGAATACTTAGAACCAAACATACCTCACACAAACTCCCCCACCCATCCCCAACCTCCCACTCCAACAACCTCCTCTTATCCCCCACCATCATCCCCCTAACCATATTACAATGATCCCGATAAACCCACTTCCCATTCCTCATAATCCCCTCCTTCGCAGACCCCTTCCTCAAGCTCCTAAACAATCCAGAATACCCATACGTGAAATAAAACTCCCACAACCAAAACCTCTCTGCATTAAACACTTTCACAAACCACGCCACCCAACTGTCTTCTATATCGCTCACCACCGTCTTCATAATACTTCTATGCCACGCATCCAGATCGCTTCGAGTATTCAATATCACTTTCGCCTCCGGATACGCCTCAATCAACTCCGCCGCAAACATGGCAGGCACCGAGTCCAACACAGCATCGTGATCGCCCAAGAGAGCGTCGAATTCCGCTCGCGTTATTTGGACGTCGCCGTCAGCGGCCCCGGCGTATTTGCGTCGTGCGAGATTAGCCCATTCTTGGATGTAGCCCCCGTTGGACTCGGAGACCAGCGTCCAGCCGTGGTAGGGCTTGTAGTTGAGTTCTTGCAGTGCATGGCTGAGACTTTCTGTTGCAGAGCGCGGGAGGCCTGCGCAGATGAGGCGGAGGGGGCGTGTGCGTGTTCGGGGTGGAGGTTGGGGGTAGCTGTAGAGGGA